AGATTATATGCAGTGATTTCGTTCATTAATTTTTCAGTTCTCAAAATATCTTTTGTTAAACCCAAATATTTGTATCCAGTCCAGAAAGTAACACGTTGAAAACGCGTTAAAATTACCTGAACAATATGAGCAACCGAGTTAGGAAATTTTTCTCTTAATCTATGAAAAGCTTCTACTGGAATAACAGCCAAGGTGGTATCCATAGTCGCCCTAGCTACTATATTTGGATGAACAGAAGTAGTGGTTGGAAATTCTTTTGAAAGACGTCTTAAAATTTGTGGCTTTGTAGATCTATTTGAACGTGAGGAAGGACTATCAGGAAACATTGAAGATCCAGGAAGAGATTGATCTTCGGAAGTATCATGATTTGATTCCTTTAAATTAGAAATCTCATGAGACTGATCATTTTTAATAGATACATTTTCCTGTTTTCCAGTATTCTCATTATTATTCTCATTATTAGTTGAATGATCCATCGCTTTATCATTGTAGCGAAGTTCAATATCATCAGTAAATAAAGAAAGGATAGTAAATAAACTTGATAAAGTTCCACCGTTTGTAACTTCATTTAAAAGTTGATAACCACGATTATAATCATCATCTTCAAAAGGATCTAACACTATGTCTTCTTCATTTGCAGTTTTGACAAAAACTTGAACATAACCATCTATTACAATATAGAAAGATCTTTCTTTCTCTAGCATTAAAATATCACCAGCTAATAACTTTTTCGTTTGCAAATGCCTTGAAAGTTCATGAAACACTTGTTTTTCCAAGTAACCAAAAACTTTTATGCCTTCTAAGAAAGCACTTAAAAAATCATCAGGGTAAAGAAACTGAGCTTTTTCATTGTTATCAAGATCAGGCCGAAGGTGGTGAAAAGCACCCTGAGTCTGAGGAGTTTCTACGGGAAGACGCGAGTATCTAGTAAGAATTTGATACCGAAAGACTAAATAACCGATTGTTATAATTAGACCAAACAACACAAGCAAGGTAGTAAAATTAAATTGAAGAGTAAAGGATAGTGATAAAATCTTTATTATCCAAGTAGAAAGTGTAACTGTGATAAAGGAAACGAGTAAAAAGAACCATCGAAACAAAGTGGAAAAGGTGAATATGGTGATCGCATAAATTTCTCCTATACTAGTAATCGCTGTTGATTCCGTAACTTCTTCCATTGTGGTTATTCTAAAGAATGTGCTGTGCCAACTACTCTAATTAAAGTATATCTATCAAGAAGTAATTTGCGCACGTACGTATAATGTATATATTTGATATTATATTTCATGGACTTATGATTGGTCAATTTTTGTCGATCATTTGACGTATTGTTTACTGAGGCGATCCAGGGTTGAGTTTATATAACCAAAAATGGGCAGAACTTGAAAAAAAAAAGTTCTTTTAATAAATTTTTAAAATGAAATCTACTGAAGCAGATTGCACTTACTGTAAAAAGATGAAATTTTAAATTCACTCAAGTTGATTAAAAATTTCAAACATAGTTACGTAATTAGAATTTATAATAAATATCACCGGTGGTGAGGGTGCAGTTTTAGATTTCAGTTCTTGTGAGATTTTCAAGAATCCTGACCATTTCTAGACTCCTTAACTTTAACTACTTAGTACGTTTTTGAGATATAGCATCACTGACCTCTGGTGAGTGTTAAAATTGTCCTTAGTATGTATTTTAGTTACATAAGAAAAATTTATCTTATTACATTTGTAGTGATTTTTACTCTTGCAACTACACCAATCCGTCATCCGTTTATATCTGATGTTCGTGATATTCGGATAATCTGACAGATAATTATCCGGATATCAATAGTAAATGGATATAGAATAAATAATTATCCGGATAAACGCCAACCGGATTGGAACTATATTTTCTGGTTCTAATAGTTATCTTAATAAATCCGATCTTTTTTACGTAATAAAAGGTTACGAGGTTAATTAGCAGACTTACTACAGCTATTGTTCAACAAATAATATAAAACGATTTACTTTATATAAAAATGAATTTTTATTAACTCTTATTATCACAAAAACTAGCTAATTAATCAATATGAGATATTCTAAGTCAGTGTTAACTGGAAGCTGGAACTGCCAGATTTTTCTATATTCACGTGCATCTACCTCCGTATGCCAATGTTGGCCAATCAGAGAACAAGCATTACACATATATGGGCGGCGATCAATAGAAATGAGAGTTCTGCACATAAGAATCATATGTATATATCCCTCACTGGAATTCTGAATCAATTTATCATTTTCATGCGTACAAAATTTCCACTTGGGTTACCCGACGGTGACCATAAGTCATCCAGGTGAAATCGTATTGGCTAAAACACCCACCTGGGAGATAATTCTTTTTTGCACAAAGGACGTGTCGATTCATAATGCTAATATCCTATATAAATCTTAGTGATTTCTTATATTTACCCACTAATCCACAATTATCTCATTTCATGTCACTACAATTATTTGGTTCAATTTTTAACGATTTATTTAACTCAGCAAGTGATTCCTCATATCAATATTTACCCATGCCGCTGTGTTATTTTAATGCCTTATTTCAATCTTTAAGCGATTTATATTTATTGCAATATGTAGTCTATTTTTAATGACTTATCTAATGTATTATACTGTACTATTTGTCCATATGTTTATATAAGTCAATCCATGATTATTAATGCTATCACGTTTGGTTCCATTTTTAATGACATATTTAAATTTCTAACATTTACTAAATATTCGATAAGCTTCACGGTTATCTTGAGTACCTCGATTGATAAATAATCACTATATTCACAGGCTTGAATAAGCAAAAATTAAATACTTTGCTTGATACCCATTTATTTATTAGATCAACGTGAGATAAAATAATTAAGAAATGAATAACCTATTCTAAATACCCCAATTGTAAAATAATCATCATATTCGTCTATTAAAAAGAAATTGAAATGCTGATTTTAAATACATCGGGTGATAAATTACAGTAGAAATGAATAGCTTGATTTATGAATGTTAGATTAAAACAAATATAGATACTAGCAAATATCAAGGAAATGATACTGTCAGCAAATTTATTGATAGTTATAAAAAAACGATCATATGGATATTTGTTAAGAACCGGGTTTGACGACTAATCATTAAGAGTAGACGACTTAAGTAATTTAAGCTTTATGACAACCATGTCATCTTGGGGTGGTAACTCAACTAAGTAAAACAAAACTATGTTAGCAACATTGATCATTTTATTATGATCAGATTTTTATCGGTAAAATTAAAATTATTGATCGAACGATTTATATATAATTGTTAATTATAAAGAAAAGCGTAAAATTCTAAAGGATTCACACAAATAGTGTACTTATTTTTCTAATTTCTTTCGATTGGAAACGTCGCATCTGAACTATTTCAAAGTAACTATGTTTGATTTTTTGTGAAGTTCTCAAAGTTCTCTATAAATTTTTAAATTACTGCTTAAGATAAATAAAATTTTTCGGTCTAATTAAAGAAATTTAAACCATTCTAAAAGACGAACGCCCAAAACCTGTGAGTTAATAAAGAATCTTAAACATAGTTTTATTCTTAAAAGTTTCAAGGTAATTGCGTGTATTGGTAATGAATTGAATCAGAATGAATCGCTCAATAGTATATAATAATATACTAACTATTCCTCTACCGTAATGTCCTTCGGACAATAATCAAATTGATTTATTTGTGTAACGTGAAAAATTTGCAATATATCAAATTACATAGTTTGCTCACTTAGTTTTGATTCACTTAGTTGAGTTACCACCCCAATGTCATCTGGATTACTCGGGTTTATTAGGAACCCGGTAATATTTTTATTATTATAAACGGGTGAGCTTTCTCTACACACCTGGTCGAATCGGCCAATCAGAAATCACTGGATCATTGGACATCACAGAAACTTTCGCTAGAACGTCTAGTTGACATCCGAATTACTAGAAGCTACAGTATTATGCTTCCAACTCCATCCAATGATCTTCTAGTTCCAGTAGTTCCCACTGGAACGTTCCAGTAAACAACACTGTTCTAAGTAAGCCTCAAAATACTTCGAAAAATATAAAAAATATAAGTAATAAAAATATCCTGAGCCGTTGCTGGAATAGAGGCAATAAAGCTGTAGATACCTAATATAATACTAATTGTCACATGGCTTAAAAATTCGAACTACACCCTTAGTCAGCATATTGTCATCATATATAGCCAATCATAAGGCATTTAAATTCCAATTGACCAATCTTCTTTTTTCCTTCATATGATACTGCAAAATTGAATTCATTAAAAAAAAAAAGTCGATTTTCCAAATTTCCTTACTGAAATCAAATTGTTTTCATAATCGGAATAATTTTGCACTAAAATGATACTTTGGCTTTTAGAGAAATAATCTTCTATGTTAAATTTAAAAACTAAGTCACTTTTGTTCATTTTTTTTTAAATTTTGTATCTATTGTATGAGCTCTCACAGGTTAGGGAAATGTCAGGATATCAGCTGATATCGTTGGGTAGGGGGGAGGTAGACAAAATCTCAGGTCTAAATATATACATACAACAATCAGAATGACAATTTCTCGGGAGGGGGTGAGCTCTATAGTAAACTGATCTCAGCTAATATCTGACACGTCCCTTATCAATCGTTATTAACTGAATTAACTGAATAGAAATAAGATTTAGTAAAAATCCGAATTTAAAACCCCTCTTTTTTTAAGAAAGTATATCCGTTATCCTCTTTAGGTCTGGATTTTATACTTATTACTTTCTATCATCATGTATAGATTAGTACATGGATTTTAATCATACTCGGATCAACCTTAGACTTTGGATCAACCAGGCATAAATTTTTTTCGCATTCTCTGATTGGTTATTTCCTTCTTAGGAATTTGTATTACTCGCGTAGAGTTACTTATATTCGCGAGACAGGATTTGGATCTAGATCTACTATTATCCATTATTTTCTTTAACTTCAGCTTATGGAACGATCATCAATTGAAGCTATAGTACAACTGGTAATTTGTCTTTGAATATCTATATTACCTATTTTTTTTATTTCTAAGGTTTTTGAAATAATCTCTAGGGAGTAAGCGAGAGCAAAGCTGTTGAAGCGTTAAAGGTACGTTGATAATTGAACTTTTGTCAATAGAAAAGGGGAATCGAATTTTTTTTTTAATTCAAAATCGATATAAAATATTAATTAAGTACATTTTTCATTAAGTTATATAAATTATAATTTTTTATTATTGTTTTTATTATATCTTTTTTTTTCACACTTAATTCACATTTATTTTGTATATTTCTCCTCTTTTCTATCTTTTCAATTTTAACATCTAATCCATTGACTTAAAAATATCTATTTTTTTTTTTCTTTACTATAGAAATTCGGTGGCGATGTGGATCGTGCTGCAAACTTCATATATGAAAATCTGGATAATATGTTTACTGATCCTGAAGAAGTAAAAATAGCATTTATAAACTATTTGATGTAGAAAGATTGTGCACTTTCAATCAATGATATTTTCCAATCACGCTTTAGACTCCTGGATTGGCACCATTGGGCTCAGATTCACAAACTAGTAACTGGGAGGATAGAGGAGGTAATTAATTAATCTTTTTCAAAAAAAGTTTAAAAAAAAATTTTTTTCTTAGATAAAACAAAAATGATTGTAAATTAAAATGTTAGTTATACACTGACCACATGAATATATGCTAGTTATTTAAATTTTCCTTTTGATAAACTTGTATTTTCTTGTAAAGGGGGTAGCGTGTTAGGTTGTTTCGATAGAACAAATGATTCTTCCTCTCTTGAAAATGGTATGTACTACCCGAATCTTTTCAATTTAATTTGTGCATCTTTAACTTTCTGGTTCGTTTTATATAACTATTATATATATTCAATTATAATAAGATCGTGATATGAAAACAGCGATGGAAGCCTCCATGGCTGATAAAGAAAATGAAGACCTCCAAAAGGCGATCGATAGGAGTAAGACTGACAGTTACGCTGGAGCTCTTATTCCTTATAATGGTGGTGGTTATAAGGTTTGTCACGAATTTCTATAACACTTTGTATACAATGTATGGAAACTGTACCTTGTAATATGCGTTTAAACAAATATATAATAATAATTAATAGAATGATAATGACTCATCATATCCAAGATCATCTGATCAAACTTGGTACAGTAATGATTGGGATCAACCAGCAAAAAGACAAAAGCTTGACACAACGTAAGTGCCATGATTTTTTTTTTCGCTTGATAATTTTTATTTCAAATAATAATAGCATATTACCTACAAATCAGTCCCCTTGGGTTGAAACCGGTGTACAATCATTATTACGCCAGTCATTTTTTTCAAGCATTGTTTCACATTCCTGTTTTTCGTTTGTCTTTGTTGGCATTTCGTCCGACTAAAGACGATTGGGGTAATGTAGAAGGTTATTGGAAGGGTCAAAAACATTATAATTATGATGATAGGTCTAAATTTTATAGTACGAATCGTCAGGAATCTTTAAAATGTAAGTATGCGATAATGTCAATAGATTAAATATTTCTAATTTTAATTGTGCTTTCATGTATATATTTCATAAGTCATCCACGAATTCCAAAAGCTTTTCGGCTTTTTATCGTTGAGTCAAAGAACGTACGGTGATTCAAGTCTATTAATGGAAGTTTTGGATTTTGATGAAAAAGTAATTTGGAATGAAGCGGAGGTCGTGTGTAGTATGTGCGCGCATCACCACATCTCGACGTTAACTTATTAATGAGTGAATTCCATTTTAACATTTACTTTTAATAAACTTGCATAATATATATATATATATATATATTTGTAGATTTTATTAATAAGTTAATTACCAAACTGATGGAAGGGTCGTGTTATCGGAATACTGGAAGTCTGAATATTCCGATTAATCTTCAAAATTATATTTTAGATTTTGAAAAGTTTAGTATTCGCATAAATGTTGTAACCATTTTTTATAAAACTTAGTATTTATATCTTTATTCTTTATTTTATTAGGTTATTTAGATCAAATGCTGAAAATTTGGATCCAAAAAAATATGGAGAAGTTACCAATTTGATATCCTTTAGTTATATCTTGTAATCCATTTTTTATTTCACTTTTATTACTTTTATTAAATTTATTGCACTTAATTCGTTGTTACCAAACCCTCTAGAAATATATCCTAGTTGTCTTACAGTTTATGATGCGTTGGATCGCGTAATGCAAGAATCAGGAGGGAATTCGCGTAAACCCTTCTTTACACAATTAGCACACATATTAATCATGAACTTAAAACATAAAGATAAAGATAGTAATACTTGTTATCCTAGTTTTGGAGGGGAATCAACATTCCAAGTTCTTAAAGAATTATATATGGATCGTTATATGTTTGAAAATAATGAGTTTATTGAAAATTGTTGGCAAAAAATTGAAATAATGAAGAATGAACTCAAAAAAATAAACCAGAGCATTGATAAAATTATTAAATTTCAGGTTGGTATTATCTCAATTTTACACTTACAAAGTTACAATATTTTTGATTCTATCTCTTCATTAGGGAAAATATAATGGTCCAGATTTGCTCAAAGGTTCAATAGAACATTTTCAACAAAAATGTAAAAAAGCTGAAGAAAAAGGTGCTTCTGATAATAATGCACTTCAGACAAAAGCTTGGCTAGAGAATTTCTTGGACAAAGTTGAACAAAAATTGCACGGTATATTACTGATTTTATTTATCTATATTTATATTTATTTTAATTGATAATTTCATTGATAACTCTAGTTTAATTATTTTAAATCTTAGCTTTGCTTGAAAAAAAGGATGAACTGGAACAGAAAATTAGACAAATGTTTGATAAACCTGATATGAAAAAGTGTCATTATCGTCTCAAGGCCGTTTTAGTTCATAATGGACAATCTGGTCAAGGAAATTACTGGGCTTATATATGGGTTTCAAGGTGCAGCAAATCAGATACTCATAATCCTAGTACAATTGATAATGGTAACTGGATGAAATTCCAAGATAATACCGTGGAAGAGGTAAAGTTTATTATTTTTTTATCATTCAAAATTTGATCAAGATGTAAATTATTTATGACATGATATTCAGGTATTGGAAGATGTGGTGCTTAATAAACCAGGAGATTTTTATTCAAGCCACAGTGTTTACACACTTTTTTTATGTAAACGCAAAAGTTGATTACAATTTCCCAAGCCTCGAGAATGTTATTCCTGATTCTCTCAAGGTTTGCTTCCATGTTTTAACAAATCAGTACTCTATTCCTGCTTTTGCAAAAAATTATTTAAAATATATATCTATTAGGCGTTTGTAGAAAAAGACAATCAAATACTTGAAGAAGAAATAGGTAATGAGTTCCGGCAAGTAGATGCAGAATTACCAGACAGCAATGCTATGGACAGCACATGGGAGTCTGATTCTACCGCTTGTGGTGGATTGTCTGATTCAGAAAAGAATATTCAAGCTCGTGTTGATACAATAACTGAACAAGCAAATAATATTAAAATTTATGATTCAAAAATTTTGCAAAGGTAAATATATATTATTAATCTAGAAATTTTGATTATTAAAAATTTTGATTATTAAAAATTTTGATTATTAAATTTTGATCTATCACTTTTTTTAGAATAGAATTCTTTTTCGTTAAGCTCGGTCAAAGTGAAGCCATCAAATCGCTTTTGACTGAATACATTGATTCAAAATTCGTAAGTTATCAATTTTTTGGACGTATAGTTTTATCTGTTTTTTTTATTCGATTTGTATTGATTTGTATTGATTGATATACATTAATAACCTTAATTTAACAGACTTCAGCTCTGGATTGGTCTGATCCTATTCCTTTAGTTGAAAATTATCGCCGGGATACACGATACGTTAAAGTTATTGACTCCTTCAATGAATTTAAAGAGATATCTCAATGTATCATTGAAGGTTTAGATCAAATGATAAAAAAGGAATACATCCGTGCGATCGGATATTTTTATAAAGCTTTAGAACTTGAAGAATCATGGCTAAAACAGATAACGTTTAGTAGCGAATTCATCATGGTTAATGTGGAGTCATTACGACGAACCAATTTTATTCTCTCATATGCAAAAATTTGTTTAAAGGTTTGTATCTCTACATTATTTAAATTATTAAATTATTATTAATTATTATTAATCAATGTTATTTGTTATAAAGATTCTTAATGATAATGCTTTGGAAAAGGCCAAAAGGAGTGAATTATTCGAACAGGCTATTCGAGATGCTACATTTGTCCTAAAAACGTTTATGGTTTTTGTTAAAAATTGTAGAACGGATGTTTTATTTAATGAGTTTTTACAGGAATGGACTAGTATACAATCATCAGCAGATAAAATACATGAAAACTTGATTTCAGAATTGATCAGAGAATATATTTCAGTTATCGACACTAATGATGGAGATGAATTAAGTCCTCCGTTTAAATATCCGGATGAAATTGGCATGGATAATGATACTACATTATGTGAAAGGTATGATAAACTAACATGGAGATGTAAAGCAGTCTATAAAGAATATAATCCACCTGATCCGAAAAATTGAGATTGCCAAAAAAAAAAAAATAAACATTTGTATAGTAAATTGTAACATTGGATTGTGAAGTTAAATATGTTAACATTTATATATATTTTTCTCCTATGAACATGATTATTGATTTGTTAAAAAGATGTAATTGGTTATTAGTTATTAAACAAAAATGTAAATTTCATTTATTAAGATGTTTACAATATTGAAAATGAAAATTTTTAATTTTACATAATACTTATGACACTCGTCCTCAAATTTATAATGCTATCAATAATTCAATCATTTAGATTACGTGTATAAATTCCTTGACTTTCACTGGGACCCACGTCTTCATTCACACCATTAGACAGTTTAGAAAAATTAAACATTCCGAAACTATTCGTCTTAAGATATCCATCAATAAAGCGAGTTATTGTTAAAGTAAGAGCAACCCAAAAACAAACTACACATGTTGAAAAAAACGCACAAATTAATGCGACGGAAAGGACCAATCCTATTTTTGTAAAATATCGGATATGTAAGTAATTAGAATTAATATAGAAGTGAAATGATGTACAGAAATTACCTGCTAGACCAAGGATAAAGGACAATATCAATAATCCAAGACATAAAGCACCACCAATAATTAAAGTAGCAGAGACAGTCAAAAAAACTAGGTAACAAAGTATTGGAAAGGCTGAAAAAACGATAAATATAGCAAAGAAAAGCTGTTAAAGAAATAAAAATGATTTAGTATAAATTTTGACAATAAAAGAATTATGAATAATTATTGAATTTTACCCCAAGATATGGACGTTTAACTGTGAAGGCACAATAATTTGCATATAAAATTTCCATATAAGCGAGGAACCTTTATGTATAAATGTTTAAATATATATAAAATGAGAATTCGCGTATGCTTTTCATTATGCTTTGAATTACCTTTCTGCATTCTGTTTAAAGTTTTCAGCCAAATTTTCATTAAATAGAATTCGATGCAATTCAAAATCTGCACTCATTTTTTCTTTTGTTTTCGTTGTATTATTAAAAGATGTTGAAACTACAATGGTCGTGGTTGGCGTTGTTATAACTCTTCGAATTTTAAAAGTGTCTAGTGTTTATTGTAGATTGATAAGATAATTACGTTTCCGATATTCTTGTTGTACAAACTTCCAAGACGGTTATTTTTTATTTATTTTCTTTAATGGAAGACAGGTGTTTTTAGACGTTTTGGGTTTTAAAGAAAACAAAAACGCGACTTTTTTCTGATTTACTCGCAATCATTATTATTCTAATATATTATATTTTAATTATACGTATAATAAATAATATATACGTATAATGATAAAATTATGTATATAGATAGTATATTTTTAATTTCAGAAAATTACGTAAATAGATATTATTGTGTCGCATGCACATATAAAAAAATTTATTTTTTAAGAGTAGAATGAAGTGTTAAGTACGACATACGTACGCATATTCGTAGTTGAACTCATCTGTTTTAAGATGTTTTTAGTGCTTGTACAAAAAGCAAATTATACTTTTCATGAAAAGTTAAAAGATTGCTCTATACAATAAACATAAAAGCCATTTGGCGGCCACTTTTAAAGTTCAATTGTCATGAGCATCATTAACTTTATGTAGCTTTTATGAATTTAAACATAGGTTAGGAATGGGCATTGTGATAAGAAACATTGTAACCTAATGATTAGAACAGTTCGTCTCAAATGTTCAAATAAATGTTGATATTACAATAAGGATAAGACATAAATCATTTAATTTCGTCACAATACCCACATTTATCACATCCTCTTCATCTAATATATACGGTATGTATGAATCGGTGTTACAAATATAGCGTGCAAATTACTATCGCGACTTAAAATTTTTTTTATAAAACACTAAGATTGAATGTTAGTAGATTTAGAGTTAAAAGTATTATATATATATATATACTGTATATATACTGTATATAGTACTTATATATAATAACTATATATATATGTACAATAAGCTTGCACTATATCAATTTTGGGCTATATTAGTGCTGTATTAGATATAATACAGTACTATAATCTTATATACAAAAAAGAGATGTTTATTTCAAAACTATATATATATACTGTATATATATATATATTTAATATTTAAGATGAAACCTTGCTTTTATTTTTATAATATATATACTATATTACTACTTAGGAATCAAAGTATTCCACCCTCTCTAACTTTTTAAATAGAAAAGCTACAACTTTAAAATTTTTATAGTAAATAATATTAAATAAATATAAATAAGTAACAAATTTTTGTAGTTTTTTAATTATTATAACAAAAGTTAGATGAGAGCTAAAATTTTAATAGATTTTTTTACAAAAATTAAAAATTAATTAAGAGTAGGGGGTACTATTTTAAAATTATATATAAACTTGATGGTAAATTTTTTTTATATTTAATTTTATAAAAAATTATATTAAGT